TACAGCCTTTTACCAGCAACCTCTGACCCTGGCCGCATGGAGCCGTGGATGATTAAAGGGCTTCATAGAAACTGTATCATAGAAGCTTTAACATCAAACTCTAAGAAGCTGTTTCCAAACAAAACAAACAGAGACCGGGCTTTAAAACACCGGCACTTAGCACCCGGCATTAACAATAAGTCGCCTCCATTCAGGACGGGGCGGGTAATCTCAGCCGGGATGGGACTCCTGAGAGGGAGCAGGAATCTGTCCATTAGAGGACAAGTTAATTCAGTAATCATGAAAAGACATTTATGGACGTAACGAGCTGATCCCACTCAGAGAGAAGGAGAAAACATTTCAGCCTCAGGAATAGGCGGGGGAGATAATCCCCCCCTCTTCAAGATTAAGTGGGACATTATCCCACACGGACATAATTGCTTGTATGAACTACTTTAAAAAGGATCGGATTAGAAGAGGCAGAGCCAGCGTTTAAAACATGTGGGTCCTTTATATACAGATATATATACACATACATATATGTATACTACAGCGGTACTACAGCAGCACTGGGATACCACAGAAGAAGACAGGTCAACCAGGAGCCAACATCTGGATCCATATAATAATTAATGAACATAGTCACATGGTGTCAACAACAACAAACACCTGATCTCACATCACAGCCTGAGACCTGAACACTGGACAGCTCAGGACCACTGATGCATCATGGTACATGTAGGCACATGGCTCCGATGAACTCATCTTTCTGGTTCAATATGGCAGCACTGAAGCACTGACTACGTTTACCATCAACACTGACTGGAGTCATAGAAGGTGGAGAACTGTGTCCTTAACCCTCTCAACCACAAGTAGTTCTTCTTCTATGAATCTCTGTGGCCGCGTTGTTCTCTTCAAAATAAAAGTCCTGCTCCTCTACAGAAACAGAACCGTGATGACTAGAAGTAGAACTAGAACATGTCTTTAATCAAGTTGAATTTCATTGATTATTCATTTCACAAAACTGAATGTAATGTTTATACCCAACATGTTATATGTCTACAAGTGTTACTAATGTTGGAAAAATAGAGGCTCTACATGCAATAAATATTAAGCTGTTCACATGTTTCCATCCTCCACATCCACCGTCGGACAGATGAAAATGTGACGATAGCGACGGTGTTTACGGCTTCTTGCTGTGATAGACGGTGCAGTTTTATAAATCTATTCCAGCCTGCAGTCACTAACAGAGACAAAGAGAAGGGAGCTATGAAGAAAGCAATTATTCAAATAAAACAAGACAATAACACAACATGAAGATCCTGTTTTGCATAAAGCTGAAAACATTATCCTGAATGCATCTTTCTGATTATTTATTTTATTTTACTGTTTAAATGTCATGCTTTACAATTTAACACATCAGCTGATCCGTATCAGTCATCAAAATATGTTTTTTAAAACATGCAAATTCCTCTGAATTCGTACCGTTCTCTCATTTAAAGCCACGTGTGATACCTTCAGGGAACAGCTGACCTATAAGCTCTTTTTTTTACCTGTGTGCATCTCTGCTATTGTGTATAATAGTATTTTAAACATTAACTGATCATCTTTATTGTTTAGTTCTAGTTCCCTCAGGGTTAATAAAGTTTGATTTTATCTCCACTCTTTACATGATTTGAGCCGTTTTAAATCCTGTGATGATAGAATAAAATGTAGGGTCTCTTTTAGAACCACAGAGGTTCCCCAGGGTTCCCTCTACGTCTCCCTGTGAAGTACTGACTGTAGAACATAGAAGTGCTTCAGCTGCAGCAGATGCCGGTCGATGTTTGACTCCATTGTCGTATTAAAAGGTAAATCAGCAGTGTGGTTTGTCTCCTGCTTCATGTAATTTATAATCCTCCATGTTGGAGGTTTTCGTTGGGGAAATCAGAGCACTGAGGAGGAGAATCATGAGAACGGCTTCACGGATTAAAAACAAATGAGGAGATGTAGAGACGCACAAAGTCTCTGTAATCTAATGAACTTATAAAGAGATGAGGATCATGTTCAGTATGAGACCTCGTGAAAGGTCAACCCTCTGAAGACCACGGACTACAACTACCACCTCACCACCAAGGACTACAACTACCACCTCACCACCAAGACGGACTACAACTACCACCTCACCACCGAGACGGACTACAACTACCACCTCACCACCAAGACGGACTAAAACTACCACCTCACCACCAAGAATGACTACAACTACCACCTCACCACCAAGACGGACTACAACTACCACCTCACCACCAAGACGGACTACAACTACCACCTCACCACCAAGAACGACTACAACTACCACCTCACCACCAACACGGACTACAACTACCACCTCACCACCAACACGGACTACAACTACCACTTCACCACCAAGACGGACTACAACTACCTCCTCACCACCAAGAACGACTACAACTACCGCCTCACCACCAAGAACGACTACAACTACCACCTCACCACCAAGAACGACTACAACTACCACCTCACCACCAAGACGGACTACAACTACCACCTCACCACCAAGAAGGACTACAACTACCACCTCACCACCAAGACGGACTACAACTACCGCCTCACCACCAATACGGACTACAACTACCACCAAGAAGGACTACAACTACCACCTCACCACCAAGACTGACTACAACTACCACCTCACCACCGAGACGGACTACAACTACCACCTCACCACCAAGACATACTACAACTACCACCTCACCACCAAACAATCAAAGGTTACTTTACGTCTGTCCACGATGTCTTCATCTTTTGTGTGTCAAAATTAGCTAATAGATTCGTGACATTTGACCAAACTCTAGTGAGTTCATCTTAACGTTCACGAGTATGAAACCACAATGTCTCCGATTTTTAATTTAAATTTTAACCTGATGCTGGTTAATGTTTCTGTCACTTCGGGTTACATTCAAGCTGCACTAACTGAATATTTACACTGGTTTAATGTTGACGATATAATCACGATACTTAAGTCACGATAGGATCTTATCACGATACTTAAGTCACGATACGATACTACCCCGATACTTAAGTCACGATACGATACTACCCTGATACTTAAGTCACAATACGATACTACTCCGATACTTAAGTCACGATACGATACTACCCTGATACTTAAGTCACGATACGATACTACCCCGATACTCGAGTCACGATAAGATATTACATGTGAACACATCATAACTTTTTAATTTACTTTGGTGAAATACAAATTTTTACTGAATGGAGCTTGAACGCATCATAATGTCACTCAGTGGAACCTCCATAAGGCTCTTCTTCGTTATAACAGCTGTTGCTCTGTGTTTCTAACGTTACTATGGTTAATAATGTTACTATAGTTACTAATGTTACTAGCTCTCCCCTGTCGATTTTAAATACAGATGTGTTGTTCACGTTTCATTCTCAGACCAGCGACTAGAACGCATTCATGCTGATCTTCAGATCACATATTTTTACTGAATCTAGGCCGATGATGATTTGATGATGATGATGATGTATTTTCACACTCTGATGGTTAAACTTGTAGATAATCAGCGGGTCACATGACACTGCAATGCTTGGCGTATCGTATTTTGTTGTATTGCAACGTAAAATATCGCGATACTATGCTGTGAGATAAACAATGAGCAGGAACTCAGTATGAAGATTCGGCTGATCGTTCATAACCAAACTGTCATCACATAAATATACATCATAGCTGCTTTAGAGACTTCGTACCTTCATCGGTGCCGTCCATGATGGACACACTGTCGTCTCTGGACAGAAAGGGAGACTCAGCAAACAGCGCCCTCACCTGGACACAGAGGGAAGCACAGCCAGCTTAGCATGAACTGAAACATCTCTCTGTCCATCAGGTCCATGAGAACTTTAGGACTGAACATAACATGATGTGGACGGCTGCCATTTTACATTCATAGGGAAAGTATCACTCCCCCGTCTGCACATGGTTCAGTCCAAGAACTGTGCTGATGTTAGGGACTCTCAAAGGAACAGCTCAACATTTTAGGAAATCCTCAACGTCCAGATCGATACCTCGCTCGTGTCGGCACAGTAAATGCGAGGCTAAAGCCAGCAGCTCGTTAGCTTAGCTTAGCATAAAGGCTGGAAACAGAGGGAAACTGCTAGCCTGGCTACCAAAGCAGCTACAGAAATATTTCAAAAACAACTTAATAATAATCACACGGAGCACATTTTATTAAAGTAACATAACTTTACTTATGTCCTGACCTTCTCATGCATGTCTGTACACCACGAACATTGATGAATTATTCATGTTTTTACATTCAGACATTCACACATTCACACGTTCAGACGTTCAGACATTCACACATTCAGACGTTCAGACATTCACATTCACACATTCAGACATTCAGACATTCAGACGTTCAGACATTCACACGTTCAGACTTTAACACATTCAGACGTTCAGACATTCAGACATCCAGACATTCAGACATCCAGACGTTCAGAATAGATGTAAATAAACTGTAATGTAGTTTAATGTCGTACATGTTTCTGCTGTTTGTGTTGTTAAACAGTGAGACAATCTTTTCACACCCTGAACTGTTCTATGATAATATGTGGAGTATACATTTGTATGTTTTTATAGACACACTCGGGTCATTTTTCTTGTGTTTTGTGTCTTTTCTACTTTGTTAAACTGATCAAAGTTTGTGCAGAAACCACGTATGTTTGTTTAAAAGCTGCTAAATAAAGACGAACATGAACTGAATGAGCTCCAGAGGGTTCATCGTGTCATTACATTATAATGAACAACATTTTACATATTCATTTTATGTATATCATGTATTTTTATTCAGAATCATAAGTTAGAGTTTAATGCAAACTGTTTATCACAAAGTTTTGCACATTTCAGTAATAATTTTACTTATATTTTCCAAACATTTTCCACATATTTTTCACAACTTTTTATATATTTTTCGGACAATTTTCCCGTATTTTGTTGGTAATTTCCCCACATTTTTCTGTTATATTTCCCCCATACTGACACATTTCTCTGAGTTAATGTGTCATTATGTTTGAACATAATCATATTCATAATATATTGGTATCCCCGCTCTGTGTAATCAGCTCTGTGTTTGGCTGCTTCAGCACCGCTCTGATAATGAGAGCAAAGCTTCAGATTAAATCACATTCTGGCTCTCGGCTGTAGTCCTGTTATTACTGATTACTTAAAAGCTTTAATAGACTTTTTATTTTTCGGACATGATCCTGATGATGACGAGGAGCCTCCTCCTCCTCCTCGTCATCATCAGCATTAGCTTCCAGTGAGGAAACGAGCCAAAAGCATCTCACAGAGCAGCTGATCTCAGTTTGATTTGATCTTGATATGAAGTGTTTGTGTGTGTGTGTGTGTGTCTCTATGTCTGTGTGTGTGTGTGTGTGACTGTGTGTGTGTCTCTGTGTGTGTGTGTGTCTCTATGTCTGTGTGTGTGTGTGTGACTGTGTGTGTGTCTGTGTCTCTGTCTGTGTGTGTGTGTGTCTGTGTGACTGTGTGTGTGTCTGGGTAGTGTGACTGTGTGTGTGTGACTGTGTGTGTGATTGTGTATGTGACTGTGTGTGTGTGTGTGGTGTGACTGTGTGTGTGTATCTCTGTGTGTGTGTCTGTGTGTGTGTGTCTGTGTGTGTGTGACTGTGTGTCTCTATGTCTGTGTGTGTGTGACTGTGTGTGTGGGTGTGACTGTGTGTGTGTATCTCTGTGTGTGTGTGAGTCTGTGTGTGTGTGACTGTGTGTCTTTGTGTATGTCTGTGTCTCTGTGTATGTGTGCGTGTGACTGTGTGACTGTGTGTCTTTGTGTATGTGTGTGTGTGTGTGTGCATGTGTGTCTCTCTGTGTATGTGTGCGTGTCTCTGTGTATGTGTGTGTGCGTGTGTATGTCTGTGTGTGTGTGTGTGTGTGTCTGTGTGTGTGTGTGTGTCTCTGTGTATGTGTGTGTGTATGTATGTGTCTCTGTGTATGTGTGTATGTGCGTGTGTGTGTGTGTGTCTCTGTGTGTGTGTGTGAGTCTCACCCTGTCCAGCAGGTGTTCAGCCTTCTCTCCAGGTAACAGACGGAGGCCGGCTGTGGCCTTCAGGACCAGAGGAGTCAGGGTCCAGCTGGAGGGGGGGGACGGTGGACTGGGCCAGAACCAGAAGATCCATGATCCCTGCTGCACACTGGAGGAGACACGAGGAGGAGACAGAGGAGGAGACACGAGGAGGAGACACAGGAGGAGGAGACACAGGAGGAGACAGAGGAGACACGAAGAGGAGACACGAGGAGGAGACACGAGGAGGAGACACAGGAGGAGACAGAGGAGGACACACGAGGAGACCGAGGAGGAGACCCGAGGAGACACAGGAGGAGACAGAGGAGACACAGGAGGAGACACAGGAGGAGACACAGGAGGAGACACAGGAGACAGGAGGAGGAGACAGAGGAGGAGACACAGTAGGAGACACAGGAGACAGGAGGAGGAGACAGAGGAGACACAGGAGGAGACACAGGAGACAGGAGGAGGAGACACAGGAGACAGGAGGAGACACAGGAGGGAGGAGACAGGAGGAGACAGGAGGAGGAGACACAGGAGGAGACACAGGAGGAAGCAGGAGGAGGAGACACAGGAGGAGACAGGAGGAGACACAGGAGGAGACACAGGAGACAGGAGGAGGAGACAGAGGAGGAGACACAGGAGGAGACAGGAGGAGACAGGAGGAGGAGACACAGGAGGAGACAGGAGGAGGATCTTTTATTATCTTATCAGTGCGTGTTTTTATGGGTAGGGTAAATTACTCTCACAAAGTAAAAGTACAACATTTAGTACTTTTGATGGTTTACTGACTTCTTCTGGGTTTGGAGGTTAAATGAAATCTTGTGGATCCTTGTAGACCAGCTGATCATCACTGATGGTGATCACAGATCTATAAACGTTAAATATGTGTTGAACAAACCTTCTCTGGGTCGTCAGCGTACGCAGACAGGCCAGGTGTGATGGCCCTGAATGTCTCATGGGCCAGTGTAGGAGCTTCTACAGGAGAACAAAAAAAAAAGACTCTTCAACATAAACATTAAACATTAAACACTAACATTAAACATAAACATTAAACACTAACATTAAACACTAACATTAAACATTAAACATAAACATTAAACACTAACATTAAACATTATACATGAACATTAAACACTAACATTAAACACTAACATTAAACATTAAACATGAACATTAAACACTAAACACTAACATTAAACATTAAACACTAACATTAAACATTAAACACTAACATTAAACATTAAACATGAACATTAAACACTAACATTAAACATTAAACACTAACATCAAACATTAAACACTAACATTAAACATTAAACACTAACATTAAACACTAACATTAAACACTAACATTAAACGTGAACATTAAACACTAACATTAAACACTAACATTAAACATTAAACATGAACATTAAACACTAAACACTAACATTAAACATGAACATTAAACACTAACATTAAACACTAACATTAAACATTAAACACTAACATTAAACATTATACATGAACATTATACATGAACATTAAACACTAACATTAAACACTAAACACTAACATTAAACATGAACATTAAACACTAACATTAAACACTAACATTAAACATTAAACACTAACATTAAACACTAACATTAAACATTATACATGAACATTATACATGAACATTAAACACCAACATTAAACATTAAACATGAACATTAAACACTAACATTAAACATTATACATGAACATTAAACACTAACATTAAACACTAACATTAAACATTAAACATGAACCTTAAACACTAACATTAAACACTAACATTAAACACTAACATTAGCTTCTGCATTGAGAGATAATGGTGATGAAAGAAAGGCAATAAGAGTTTTACATCACAGTTAAATCGGACTGACCCTGGAGCTGTGCCTACATTTGAGCTGTCGTTAATCTCTTAATGTCTGCATAACTAACAGGTTAGCTCTGGTTAGCTCTGATGCTAACAAAGAAGCCAAAACAGCACTCAGCCTGTGTGATTTAGCTTAGCGGCTAAATGCGATAACGAAGGCATTTGGATGAAGCTCTGCAGGAAACTTTCTCTAAGCCTAATAAAGCTAAACCCTCTAAAACACAGTAATGAGTCTGTCCCTGTGGAGCGGGACGTCCCGGCTCAGAGCTGCTGCTGTCTGCTCACATCTGCTAATTAATGCTGTAAATACAGTGAGAGTGAGCAACACTTTAAAGACTGTGTCATCTGGAGGAGTCCATTTAGAATCAAATACAGAGATCTAACCTCCAAATATCACATATTGATACGTGAACAACTTCAGGACTGAAGACAACTACACGTCCCACAAAGCATCGCTGCACATTCCTGACTGTATTGTGAAGCTGCGTTCACACCAAACACTCTGCACAGACGCCATGAGGCTGGGGAGATGACGGGGATCCCTCCTCCATCACATACTGTATCTACCACAGTTGCTGTTAGACGCACTGTGAGTGAATATATGATGAGCTCAATCATACGGTGCAGACAGTAACATGCTGCTGTATTCACAACATGCACAGGAACACAGACGTTTGAATGAATCTCATGTTGAATCACAACAGCCACATTAAAATATGAATTAATTGAGGAATTAAAGAAGATTCATTAATGTTCCTCATCAATGATCGTCTACATGCTAACAGATATTAACGGCTATTAACGGATATTAACAGATATTAACGGATATTAATAGATATTAACGATATTACCGGATATTAATAGATATTAACGGATATTAACAGATATTAATAGATATTAACGGATATTAATAGATATTAACGGATATTAATAGATATTAATGGATATTAATGGATATTAACAGATATTAATAGATATTAACGGATGTTACCGGATATTAATGGATATTAACGAATATTAACGGATATTAATGGGTATTAACGGATATTACCGGATATTAATAGATATTAACGGATATTAATAGATATTAACGGATATTAACAGATATAAATAGATATTAACGGATATTAACATGTGAATGAAGTCATTAAGTTCTGTTGACTGCAACGGAACGTTTACATCTTCTGCTCCTTTACCAATTCATCCTCTCTCTCCTCCTCCTCCTCTCCTCCCCCTCTCCTCCTCTCCTCCTCCTCCTCCTGTACCATTGAGCTCTATCTTGAACTTGAAGATGTGGATTCTGGTCCCAGTGCTCCCAGCGTCAAACATGATGCCGTACTGGTAGCTCCGCCCAGTAGAGGCGGTCCTATCGTCTGTGAGCCAGTCCGATCCAGTCTGGTCCCGAGGAGGAGGAGGTCCATGTAGTCCACCTAGTCCATGGTGGTCTCTGGTGTTTGTGGTGCTGTAGTGATGCTTCACAAACATCAGGTAGACCAGAAGGAAGCCCACGAAGAGGAACACTCCGGCCATCTTTGTTCTCTTCATCACGATTCATTCTGTGAGGAGCTACAAGAACCGAGTCCTCCTGAGAGTCTGAGAGTCAGAGAACACACGTCACATCAATGTAAGGTTCTGTGAAACAAAAACAACCATTACACTCACCATGATCAATACAAGACCTTTGGTTCTGCTGTAAAGAACTATTACACTCACCATGATCAATACAAGACCTTTGGTTCTGCTGTAAAGAACCACTACAATCACCATGATCAATACAAGACCTTTGGTTCTGCTGTAAAGAACCATTACAATATAATCTGTGAGCTGTCTTCTACTGATTAGCTGAAACGTTTGAGGTTTGTGAATGTTTGACTAACTGACAGAGATCTGAATGGAGTTTGGTTGACATTGAGGTCAGTTTGTTTTACATTGAGGTCAGTTGCTCTGGTAAGCAATAAACAAGTGGATAAATAATAAGCTCTGCTTAGTGTTTATGATCTACTGCAGGGGTGCCCAATACGTCGATCACAAAGGAAGTGCGGGTAGATCGCATGCCATTCAAAAACAATGAGATGTTAGCCTCTTGTGACCAAGCTTCCTGGGTTGGTGTATGAGGGGCACTTATAAGACGGTAATAAGGGAGGACTTTTTTTTCACAATGTCATTTTCGAAGTGCGTTCGTCAGATCTGCCAATCTACCATTGCTAGTGTGCAAATTGATGTCAATCACCACGGACGGTGTGCCCGCAATGGTTGGCCGCTCGAATGGATTTATTGCCAAGTGCAGGGAGGACGATGTTTTTCCCCACTTCCTTAATTACCGCTACATAATACGCCAACAAGCATTATGCGCTAAAATGCTAAACATGAAAGAGATAATGGATGTGGCAACAAAGATCGCCTGTTCTATTCGAGCGAGAGCTCTTCAAAGACGACTGTTCCGTGCACATCTGGAGACGGCTGACTGCGACCACTCTGAGTTCTTGCTACACACTGATGTGCGATGGCTTAGCAGGGGGAAGGTCCTGCAGAGATTTCGAGAGCTCTGTCAGGAGATAAAGGAGTTTCTCCTTGTTGTTAAACATGCAGAATACAACCAACTAAATGACGATCAGTGGCTGCTACACTTGGCATTTTTAACCGATCTGACCAACATGCTGAATGAGCTTAATTTAGAGCTGCAAGGAAAAGACAAAACCGTGGTCAATATGATCAGCTCAGTTAATGCTTTCAAACGAAAAATGCAACATCAGTCCTCAAAGCTGCAGCACCATGATTTGGGGAACTTCCAAAACCTCGCGTCAGAGCTGGAGACGCAACGGAAGGCGTGTGCGTAACTTGACAGTGCGCGCTACACAGAGCAGATTGACAAGTGTCTGTCAGAGTTTGACAAACTCAAGACTTTGCTTTACTCGAGCCAGTCGCTACATTTATGTGCTGCACATTTCAGGAAGATATTGAGGTTGATTTACTCGCATCAAAAATGTCAACGCTGTTTCACCTGAACTCGTCTGGAGTGGAGGATGAGATTCTGACACTACAGGCTGACGTTCAGCTGAAGTCCAGGGCTCATGGACAGTTTGTGAACTTACTCACAGAGGAAAAGTACCCAAACATGAGGAAATGTGCGACCTTCCTGATTGCATTATTTGGCTCTACTTATTTATGTGAGTCAGCCTTTGAGTCCGGTCTATGCAACTCTGGCCAATTCCATTCAGTGCAAGTCATCAGAGTAAGGTAATGACCAAAAATGTACAGAATTGTATTGTGCCATAAGGGTTCATGCAGTTATGCAAGGTACGCCAACATGTATTGTAAATATAAAGTATACTCAGTATATATATATAAATAGATATTTAGCATGTTTAATGTTGGTAGATCATTTTGACTTGGTCATTTTAAAAGTAGCTCGCAAGCCGAAAGTGTGGGCCCCCCTGATCTACTGGTATGTATTTCCATTGACACCCACTGATTAGTGTCAAGTTCTACGTCTATAAGCAAAGCAACGTTAAAATGGTGGAGTCTGAATGGAGTCTGATAATAATCATAATAAGATAAGATAATAATAAGATAAGATATCACAATAATCACAATAAGTTAATAATATATCATAATATGCATAATAACATAAGTTAATAATTATAATAATCATAATAAGTTGCTGTGTTTGCTGAGGAGCTGCTACTGCAAACCGGAAACTCACGTTGTCGCAAACGTCCATTAAATGTCGTAAAAGATGTTTAAAAGAACGTCTTTGTTTTTACAGCAGATGTTTAGCTAACGTTAGATGCTAACAGTTAGCTGGGACCTGTTGAAACCGGTAGTTAGCATGTTAGCATTAAAGTGATAACTAGCATCATGCTAACAGCTCTCCTGCTAGTGAAATAGAAGCTTTTTCTTTCTAACGGAACAAACAGTAAAACGTGTTATTTTTTTAACGTACCGAGCCGGTAACCGGCAGCAGCTGCTCCGTTAAATAAACCGTTTAATCACTTGTGCCTTCATTCGGTCTCTACCGAACTCTACTGTCAACACAACGGCGCGGCGTGATGACGTCACATTCAACGGACCTGGCAACGTGGCTGCAAAAAAACTTTTGTTTTAAAAGACATTATATACATTTATATTACATTATATTATATTATATTATATGATACAGAGAGACAATAACATTATTGAGAGAGACAATAACATTATTGTCTCTCTCCTCTCTCTCTTTCTCTCTCTCTCTCTCCTCCTCTGTCTTCCTCCTCTCTCTCCTCCTCTCTCTTCCTCCTCTCTCTCTCTTCCTCCTCTATCTCTCTCATCTCTCTGTCTTCCTCCTCTCTCTTCCTCCTCTCTCTCTCTCTCCTCTCTCTTCCTCCTCTCTCTTCCTCCTCTCTCTCTCTCTCTCTCTCTCTCTCTCTTTCCTCTTGTGAATGGAGGTTAATGGTTCATAATCTTCCTCATCACAGAATAACAGCTGAGTGAATCTAATCTCAGATTTACATACAAATGACATTTAGAGACAATTACGTCAATTTGAGACGATAATCACGTAATAAAGACAGTAAAAATATTAATATAAAATGTTTTATTAATATTTCACATTTAATTTAGTTTAGTTTTGAATTAAAGCAGCAAAAAGGATTCTGCTAAATGAAACAAAAACATTAAATATTTAAATATGAATAGAACAGCATGCAGTAGAAAATATAAGAGATATAAACACACACACAGTATAAATATATATATATATATATATATGTATACATATACATATATATACATATATATGCAGAAGTGATGTAAACGTGTAGAGCTGAGCAGCAGGTCATGTGACCGACGTATCTGGGTCATGTGATCCCATCAGGAGGATTATTGGGGAATCATTGGAGGATGATTCAGGATGTTTGGATCATAATTGATGGAAGATTCCACTTTCATCTTGTAAGACGTGAGCGAGGATTAGAGACGACATCTGGAGCGAGCTGCCTTATTTATTATCATCATGTGTCCTTAATGTCACGTTATTTATTATGTGTCCTTAATCTCACGTTATTTATCATCATGTGTTACGTTATTTATTATCATGTGTCCTTAATCTCACGTTATTTATCATCATGTCACGTTATTTATTATCATGTGTCCTTAATGTCACGTTATTTGTTATTGTCATCCGAGCCGCTTCGACTTCCAGTTCCTGCAGCTGCCGCCTCCGAGCAGCAGCGGGTTCCAGTTCCTGCCGTTGCCGCCTCCGTGATGCAACGACCTCCAGTTCCTGCCGCTGCCGCCTCCAAGCCTTAACGGGCTCCAGTTCCGGCCGCGCCCAAGCCGCCGCGACCTCCAGTTCCTGCCGCTGCCGTGATGCAGTGACCTCCAGTTCATGCAGCCGCCGCCTCCAAGCTGCAACGGGCTCCAGTTCCGGCCGCCCCTGAGCCGCTGCCGCCCCAGAGCAGCAGCAACCTCCAGTTCCTGCCGCCACCTTCGAGCAGCAGCGGGTTCCAGTTCCTGCCGTTGCCGCCTCCGAGCCGCTTCAACCTCCTGTTCCTGCCGCTGCCGCCTCCGAGCAGCAGCGATCTCCAGTTCCTGCCGTTGCCGCCTCAGAGCAGCAGCGACTTCCAGTTCCTGCCGCTGCCGCCTCCGAGCCTTAACGGGCTCCAGTTAAGGCCGCGCCGCCTCCGAGCCACTTCGACCTCCAGTTCCTGCCGCTGCCGCCTCCGAGCCACTTCGACCTCCAGTTCCTGCCGCTGCCGCCTCCGAGCCACTTCGACCTCCAGTTCCTGCCGTTGCCACCTCCGAGCAGCAGCGGGTTCCAGTTCCTGCCGTTGCCGCCTCCGAGCCGCTTCGATCCCCAGTTCCTGCCGCTGCCGCCTCCGAGCCACAGCGGGTTCCAGTTCCTGCCGTTGCCACCTCCGAGCAGCAGGGGGTTCCAGTTCCAGCCACTGCCACCTCCGCGATGCAACGACCTCCAGTTCCTGCCGTTGCCGCCTCTGAGCAGCAGCGACCTCCAGTTCCTGCCGCTGCCGCCTCCGAGCCTTAACGGGCTCCAGTTCCGGCCGCGCCCGAGCCGCCGCGACCTCCAGTTCCTGCCGCCGCCGCCTCCAAGCTGCAACGGGCTCCAGTTCCGGCCGCCCCCGAGCTGCCGCTCCAGAGCCGCAACGACCTCCAGTTCCTGTCGCCGCCTCTGAGCCGCAGCGGTTTCCAGTTCCAGACCCCGCTGGGCCACCATCTGAATCCTGTTCCCCGGAGCCCCGTCTCCCAGCCTCGAGAGTTCAGTTCCCCTCTTGATCCACAGCCTCTAGAGTTCAGTTCCCCTCTTGATCCCCAGTCTCTAGAGTCCCGTCCTCTGTTTCCCCAGTCCGGTTCCCCTGAGCTTTTGGATCCGTTATTACGTTATACGTTATTTATTAACATCATGTGTCCTTAATGTCACGCTATTTATTATTATGTGTCCTTAATGTCACGTTATTTATCATGTGTTTGTTTCTGTGCTTCTTTTACTTTATTTCCTCAAATAATGAAACAAATGTTTCCCTCTGTAATTATTCATATTTAATGTTTTAATCAAGAACATGAAAAGTTGATAATGAATAATAATAAGAGTCATTTCAGTGTTTTGATAGATGGTTATTGTCTTGTTCCAACTCTTCATTGAAGGATTTTAAGATACAAAATGAAAAAGGTAACGAAGAGAGAAACTGGGTGAAACCAGAAGCTTTTGGTGTTCGTCAGATTAACAGAAGAAATATTCGGAGTAATTGGGGTCATGATGACATTTTATAAAACCATCAGAGCTTCTAAAAACCAATAAAGGAGAGTGAATCCGCGGCTCTATTTTTGGAGGAAAACAACAACGAGGACAAAAAGGAAAAGAAATGATGATTACTGTTATAGGATTATTTACATTGCCCTCAACATGATTGAGCCGCTGAAATGAAATTAAAATGTGTGTTGAATGGGATTTTCCAGGAAAGTCCTGTAAAAACCACGACGGTAATAAGGAATGACTAATTCTCCCAAAGTCGATTAAACACCATCTCATCCCGCAGGAAAACAGAACAAATAAGATGTGGATTAGACGACTGTGGGTACATTAAGAGGCAGATTAAAGTGCTTTCTGTCCATTATTTTCATTATTATTCAGCGGGTTCTTTTTCTGAGGGCTTAATTCTGCTGGTTAGTCCACAAAACAAGCCATTAGATACAGAAATAAACCTGCAGGACACTTTCAGCACCCAAGCAGGATTACTTTAGGAATTCAGATTCCTCAACTAAAGGGAAAGTAAAGCTGGTCTGGACTTTATAAGATTATAAAAGACCAGGGGACCCAGGTTTATTCCCTGGGGGACCTCGATCTTACAGGACTGAGGTACTAGAAAAGGTCTCTATATATAATCCTGTTAAAAAAGATGTTATTCATGTGTCGTCGGTAGCTTTTTTAGGTATTTGTTTGTTGTTTGCCTTTATTACAGGAAGTGATCACACAAAACAAACAAACACCAGTTGCCTGCAGTGGTCAGCGGTGACATCACTGTGTTTTAATTTCTCCTCATCCCCCAGACAGGAAGTTCATATCAGACCATTTCCCAAGATTACGTTCAGGTTTTCACAATAAGAGACTCCTTTATGAAACTCAAGTAGTCGAGTTGGGATTTCAACCCTCAGCTCTTCAAGCTGTGAAGCTGTCAGTCCTCTGAATCCATTACTCACATGCTTCTGAAGAGCTTTAATTAATGAGCACTGTGTTCTTAATAAAGTAATAGATCATAATGTCGTATATCAAATATGAACTGGTCCGACTGACCTCGGTGAAGGATTAGCTGTGTCTTTCATTTTTCAATCTATTTTAAACAATACCTTCAGATTAGCCGTCACAGTCAGAGTGCATCAAATAAAGAAAATTGCATTAAATTATCCCATTAATGTTATTATGTTTGCTGCTCCGCTCTAACATTATATAATGAAACAATCCCGCTCAGCTCTCGTGGAGGAAGCAGCCACAGAATGAAAGAGGATTTTGTTATGAAGCAGCTCAGTCCAGATGAAAGAGAGAGCAGGAAGTCCTGTTCTCCTCCTGTTGGTGAGGCATGCAGAGCACCAGTAGACCACCAGCAGACCACCAGCAGACCACCAGTAGACCACCAGTAGAGCACCAGTAGAGCACCAGCAGACCACCAGTAGAGCACCAGTAGAGCACCAGCAGACCACCAGTAGAGCACCAGTAGAGCACCAGTAGAGCACCAGCAGGCCACCAGTAGAGCACCAGCAGACCACCAGCAGAGGACCAGTAGAGCACCAGTAGACCACCAGCAGACCACCAGCAGACCACCAGTAGAGCACCAGCAGAGCACCAGCAGAGCACCAGTAGATCACCAGCAGACCACCAGTAGAGCACCAGTAGAGCACCAGCAGACCACCAGTAGAGCACCAGTAGAGCACCAGCAGACCACCAGCAGAGGACCAGTAGAGCACCAGTAGACCACCAGCAGACCACCAGCAGACCACCAGTAGAGCACCAGCAGAGCACCAGCAGAGCACCAGTAGAGCACCAGCAGACCACCAGTAGAGCACCAGTAGAGCACCAGTAGACCACCAGCAGACCACCAGCAGACCACCAATAGAGAACCAGTAGAGCACCAGTAGACCACCAGCAGACCACCAGTAGAGCACCAGTAGAGCACCAGTAGACCACCAATAGAACACCAGCAGACCACCAGTAGACCACCAGTAGAGCGCCAGCAGAGCACCAGTAGACCACCAGTAGAACACCAGCAGAGCACCAGCAGAGCACCAATAGAGAACATAGAACACCAGTAGAGCACCAACAGAGCACCAGTAGAGCACCAGCACAGCACCAGTAGAGAACAAGTAGAGCACAATAGAGAACCAGTAGAACACCAATGGAGAACCAGTAGAGCAAAAGTAGAGCACAAGTATAGAGAACCAGTAGAGCACCAGTAGAGCACCAGTAGAGCACCAATAGAGCACCAGTAGAGCACCAATAGAGAACCAGTAGAACACCAATAGAGAACCAGTAGAGCACCAGTCAAATTAGACTAGTTTACCACCAGTTGAGCTGTTTCACATTTATTTT